GGCGGGGGCGGCTGCGGGGGTGATTGTGCGTTGTGTCGCTTGCTGAGGGCGGGGAAGACGGCCGTGCGTTGCGTGGCGGCGCCGGGGACGACGGCGCCACCCGGGCTCGGCGGTCCCCGTCGCGGCGCGTGCCTGCGAAGGGTCTGTCAACGAATCTCATCATTGTGGACAACTGCGATTGCCCGGCCGCCGCCCACAGGGCAGTCGCGCCGCCGGGTGCTTCTCCAAATGCGCGCTTCTGACGTGCACGGTCGGCGCGGTTTGTCCCTGCCGTGCGTTTGATTGGAGAGACATCGAACTGACTCCACAGAACCCTTGTCCGGCTGCCCTTCATCCCGCCAGGGCACGCTCATCCCGGAGGAGGACCTGCAGCGACTCATGGCCAACGCTGACATCACCGGTGACGGCGCCATCGAGTGAGCATCCCCCCCCCACCCCCTTGCCTGGACGCTGGGGCCGTGCTACAGTGGTTGGCAGAAATTGGGATCAGGGGCGGGCTTGATGGGAAGGGGTGGCGCGGGCCCTCTTGAGGGCGGCCTGGCGTCTCGCTGCACCCTCGCCCGCTGATTAAAGGCGCAGGTCTCAAGTGTTGCGCGGGTCCTCTTCTCCCTCCCATACGCACACGCACAAACACGCGTGCGTGCACACACACAAACACACACACACACACACACAAAGACATACTGAAACTCTGGATGCAAACAAGAACTTGCCTGTGAACCAAACCACCCTTCATCCACTCACACACTACCACCCCCCCCCCACCACCTACACACACTCACACCCCCCAGCTACGGTGAGTTCCTGGCGGCCACCATGCACCTCGGGAAGCTCAACAAGGACGAGCACCTCCACAGAGCATTCGCGGTGCGCCCCCCTTGGCCGACCGCCGCCAGCGGCCGTTTTAGTGGTGGTAGGGGCAGACGCTGGTCCGTGGTTGCACGAGGGTGCAATGAGGCGCCTTCGCCAGCAGGATGTGCAGGAGTCGTCACAGCTGAATTAACCCCCGGGGAGGGGGGGGCTTTGGAACCTTAGTTTTGTTGCCTGCAGGTCCGCACGGCTGCTTCGAGCCCAACAATTGCGGATGAACCGCCCGCCCTCCCCAACCGCAGCACTTTGATGCTGACGGCAGCGGCTACATCACCGTGGAGGAGCTGGAGGCGGCGCTGAAGCAGGAGGGGGACAGCAGCATGGCGGCCCTGGGGGAGCAGATCAAGAGCATCCTGGTGTGTGGGGGGGGGGAGGGGGCAGATGCTTCGGAGTGGGGTTGGCGTTTTGGTTGCGTGTAGGGACCCTCGTCCCCCCACCCCCTCTCACACAGGCATGCACTTGACGAGTCGAGCTGTGCGTGCCTGCTTCGCCTCCCTTGACGTAAACACACGTGCACCCGACACACACACACACACACACACACACACAC